CAAAAATCCCCCCCCCCCCCTTCTCCAACATGTGAGGAAAAGATTTGTTAAGAAGAAACGTATTCACACTATACAACTGTCTAGTCCTTTAAAAATAAGACAACCCCCACTTTTTCAAAGATCATTTACAGAAAAAAATCTTTTTTTTTTTTAATATTTGGGCCAATGCATTAATGATTCATTCAAACATCTGCTTAAAGTGACATTTGACAAGATGATTCCAGACCTCCTCTCAGACTGCTCCACCAGTTTGACAGCCAGCTGCTCTGCCTCCCTCATCTTCTGTTCCATCAGTCTTTTCTCTTCTTTGGTCTTCATGGCAGTGACCTCTAACCTCTGTCTCTCCTGCTCAGCTTCTGCGGCCTTGTGGGCCAACAGCTTGGCCTCCTCTTCAGCAATCTGGGCCTTCTCTGCGAGCAGATCTGCTGTTTCCTCTGATCGCAGCTGGAGAAAACACATTGTACCATTTAAAAACATTTTGACGAAGGGTTTAGGGCATAGCATCACGGAGGAAGATGGTTTTATTATGCAGACACCAATTTGGTAACCACAGTCGTTTTAATGGGATAATTCCATTCACAATTTCTGTCATGCAATAAACAAGTTTAAAAAGAAGATAAAACAGGGGAAGTCTGGAAGAGTCATTGTGTCATGTGAAGGGGGAGGCTCTCACCAGTGCCTCGTTGGCTAATCGTGCCTCGTCCTGCAGCTGGAAGACTCTTCGCTCCATCTCTTCTTTTGCTCTTTCGGCTTCCTCCCTCATCTGTTTTTCCCGTGCCAGTATTTGACGCTCCATCTACAGTGGCAAGAAAAAGTATGTGAACCTTTTGGAGTTTCATGATTTTCTGCATTAATTTGTCATAAAATGTGATCTGATCTTCATCTAAGTCAAGAGTATTAATAAACATAATGTGCCTAAAATAATACAGTGAGGAACAGAAGTATTTGAACACCCTGCGATTTTGCAAGTTCTCCCACTTAGAAATCATGGAGGGGTCTGAAATTCACATTGTAGGTGCATTCCCACTCTGAGAGACAGAATAAAAAAAAAAAAATCAGGAAATCACATTGTATGATTTTTAAAGAATTTATTTGTCTTGCACTGCTGAACATAAGTATTTGAACACCTGAGAAAATCAGTGTTAATATTTGGTACAGAAACCTTTGTTTGCAATTACAGAGGTCAAACATTTCCTGTAGTTCTTGACCAGGTTTGCACACACTGCAACAGGGATCCACACAGATCTCGTCTAGATCTGTCAGGTTTTGGGACTGTCGCTGAGCAACGCGGAGTTTAAGCTCCCTCCAAAGATGTTCTATTGGACTGAGGTCTGGAGACTGGCTAGGCCACTCCAGAACCTTGATATGCCTCTTACAGAGCCACTCCTTGGTTATCCTGGTGTTATTGGGATGCAACTCATCCTTCTTTTTCCTCCAAACACGACGAGTGAAGTTTAGACCAAAAAGTTCTACTTTGGTCTCATCTGACCACATGACTTTCTCCCATGCCTCCTCTGGATCATCCAGATGGTCTTTGGCAAACTTCAGACGGGCCTGGACATGTGATGACT